AGTTGAGAGAAGAGGGAAGAGAATGCCAATAATGATTTGGAGCTGGCACTTGAGTGCAGATGGAATCTTTTCAGTGTTGTCTTTCACCAGAAATCTGTTAGAGGGAGACAGATCTGAATTTCCTGCTGCTAATATTTGGAACTCAACAGCCCCTTCCAAAGTAAATGCCTTTCTCTGGGCTGTTGTCTTGGATCGATGTCTAACCAAGAAGAACTTGGTTAGAAGAGGAGTTCACATTCAAGATTTACAGTGTGTGTTGTGTGGTCAAATGGAGGAGGAAAACAACCATTTGTTCTTACATTGTTCTGTTTCTGCTACATTATGGGGCTTATCCTGGGCCGTGCCAAAGACAGTGTTGGATCTGTTATGGTGTTGGGAATTTCAAGGTTTGTCCAAGCTGGTTAAAAGTGTATGGAGGTCTATTCCTGCAGCTGTGATTAGCATCATCTGGGCAGAAAGAAATAGCAGAATCTTCCAAAAAAAATAAAAGATGTAGACAGTCTTATTTCTATTTCATTTGGCAAGTTGGTGTCTTGGATTGTAGCTGTAAAAGGTCTCCAAACCAGGGTGTTTGGAGCCCATCTGAGTTGTCACGCTGTGATCAATCTTAAAGGAAAGGTCACATTTTGTGCCTTTCCCTGGGTTGCTTGTAACTCTTATTTACTAGATTAATAAAATGCTTACTCATTTATCAAAAAAGAGTTTATTGGGCTTTGGGCCTAGTGTTTGGCTCTTGTGTGGGGTCTCTCTGTATTCTTCATTTCTGTTATTAATAAAGTTCCCTTGCCTTTTTTCAGAAAAAAAAGAAAACTGGCTGCTCTCCCATTAACTTTATACTTGAAGAGTAAAAAATATACAATGTCAAACATGCCCTCAATAGGGCGGCTATTGTCTACACACTTAAGCACAACTTAAAGAAACATTAAATTAATGAGCCTTGGGCCCAATGATACTAACTAAATAACAGAAAAATATAATAGCAAATCCTCAACACTCCCCCTCAAGTTGGGTAAATGTCACACATTCCCAAGAATCTCAACTTGTGTAGATCATATCAAAGCTTGCCTTTTGCAACTCCCTTGGTGAGTACGTTAGCTAGCTATAAGTCAAATGAAACACATGGCAGGCATACTTCTCCTAATGTCTCCCTTTATCTTATAAAGTGTTTGTCTACTTCAATATGCTTTGTCCTATCTTGTTGAACTGGATTATGAGTGATGTTAATTGTGGCTTACAATAAGGATCAAATCCAAAGAAGCTATGAGACCCCATAGGCCATAGATCTGTATTCAGATTCTACACTAAACCTGGCCACAACTGATTTGAAACCATATTACCCCCAACAAAGGTGTAGAATCCTGATGTAGACCTCTTATCATCTAAGCATCCAGTCCAATCTGCATTTGTGTAGGCCTCTAGCTTCATATGTCCATGATCAACAAACAATATTCCTCTACCCGAATGCTTCTTCCAATAGGCAAGAATCCTATTAATGGCTGCCTAGTGTTGAACCCGAGGAGAATGCACACACTGGCTCACAACACTGACAACATAAGAGATACCTTGACGTGTCATGCACAAATATAGTAGTTGTCCCACCATCCTCTGATACCTCCCTATATCCTTTACTACCTAACCATCAGAGGCATTAATCCTGTGAGTCTAATCAATAGGTGTATTAGCTGGTTTAACTCCAAGTTTTCTGGTCTCATGTAACAGATCAACACATGCTTTCTTTGGGAGAGGAAGATATGTTTGGACCTTGCCACCTCAATACCCAGAAGATATTTTAGTTTTGCAAGGTCCTTGATCTCAAACTCTTGTTGTAGGGACTTCAAGGCATCAATTTTACTCAGATGATTCCCTATAACTACAATGTCATCAGCACTTACTATTAGCACTGACACAAGTGACCCCCTTCTCTTCACAAAGAGTGTATGATTTGACTGAGTCTGTATCCAAAACAAGTCATTGCTCCCCTAAACTTGTCAAACTATGCTCTAGGTGGTTGCTTCAATCCATATAAGGACTTCTTTAGTTTGCATACCTTTCCTCCACTTACATCATCATAAATCCCAGTTAGAAGGTCCATGTAAGCCTCTTCTTGCTAATCTCCATTGAGGAAGGCATTCTTTACATCAAGCTGAAAGAGTGGCTAGGAGTAGGTGGCTGCTAGGGATAGCAGAACCTGAAGTCCTGAACCAAACTCATTTTGGCTATAGGAGCAAAGGTCTCCAAGTAATCTATCCCATAGGTCTGTGTATATCCTTTTACAACAAGCCTCGCCTTGTACCTTTTTATACTTCCATCAGTCTTATAGTTCATAGTAAACACCACCTACATCCCATTGTCTCCTTATCAGTAGGTAGATCAATTATCTCCAATGTCTGATTTTTAATTAGAGCCTCCATTTCCTCTTATATAGCTTCCTTCCACTTAGGTTTAGAGAAAGCCTTAGTAATGTTCCTGGGTATAGACATAGAACCAATGAAGAAAGGAAGACATGGTAGGAAGAAGATAGGCTATTGCAAGAAAGATAATGTGAGATACAATGGGCTATACACTTTCTCTTCCTCTTGTGTAGAGCAGTGGGAAGGTCTAGGTCATCTGTATAAATAATGTTAGGCATAGGTGTATCATCAACAAGATAGAAACATCAGTAGGCACAAGAAGAATTCCTGGATATATGTTAGCTGAACTTGGACTCTCCAATGAGCTGATGGGAAGTGGTGCAGGTTCCCTTGCTGGAGCATGTGTAGAATGAACTCTCTTGCGTTGGCGTGTAAAGAACTGTGAGACCGGACATAATGGAGCAGGTAAAGAAGCTAGAGCAACTGAAGTAGGTAAAGGAGCAGAACGATAGCTTCCATGGTTGATCCCTTTGCATAAAACCAATAGGGATGTTTGTTAATGCAGGAGCAAAGTAGTTAAAACTTGAACTGAACCTGTTATGTATCTTAGTATTATTGGACAATAGGGGCATTTTGGTCATTTTATATGTTGCCTATGGGGTTCAGTCTAAGAGTTTCATGTGTCTACTCATAGTTTAATGTGCCTAAGTTTCATAATCATTGGTTGCAGAGAGTATAGTGAATGGCATTGGATTGATTTTTTTCTTATGATAAGTGATTCCCATAAAGGCATAAACCCTACATAGTGAAGTCATTTTAGGTTCTCTTTTGGATGATTCCAGACTTTCTCTCTTCTTTCTCTACATTTTCTATAATTCTGCACGTATCAGTTTCAGCCATCAATAGCTTGTAAATTTCTCATTCAAAGTAGTTTATTCAACATTTCTAAAGGACTGAAAATGAACCAATTACGTTTTTCTTTAGTTTACATTAAAAACATGAAAATATCATGCTTCCTCTGTTTTTATCATTTTGTGTTAGACCTTCTCCAAATGATCTCATATTTGGTTGCTCCCCGTAGGTCTTCATTCCCTCTCATCCTACAAAGTTTCATAAAAAAGCTTCATCCGAAATCCTAGCCTCTTGGAATTTTGGGAGTTCCTCTTAGGGATTTTTTTCCTTTTGTGGAAAACATGTTTAGAATGTCTTCAATTGTATTGTCTAATATAGTCTATCATTCTAAATATCTCTACAAAGTTTAATAAAAAAAATCCATCTTCATGCTTAGTTTTTGAATTTCCTTTTTTTTTTCACTATCCCACGTAGAATCTGTAATCCCTAACAAGGGACTCAAAGAGGCAGGGTGGAGAAAAACTAAGAGAGAAGCTAATGGTAGCATTACTGGGTGAGGTAGACATGTTTGGGTGTTGAGGGGTTTGGCAGGAAGAAATAATCTTAGTTTCACTGGCTTGTGGCGTTACCAATGTTTTAAAATGCAGAGGCGTGACACAAGGCATTCCACTACTTGGAGGTGTTAGTCATATTTCAGACTTCAGAACATAGGAGGCATAAGCCCTGAACATGCATTTTTTATAGTTATATTTGGAATTTATAATAATAAAACATTATATTCAAATAAAAACAGTTGTTTTAAGCATGATAGAATACATAAGTAAGACTTAATTTCAATTGTCAAATTATCAATAAGGTCAATACTTGAGTTTTCAATCCCAAGTTCTCAACTCATGACTAATTTCCATGTAACAACTGACATGAGTGACTAAACAAAATACAACAGCATTCACTATTCAATTATGGAATATGAATTATGAAAAATCTTTAAGGACTGAGGTTCAATCAATAGACTAAATCCTCCTCTTCCTCCACAAGAGGCATCATTATCAGCTTCAATATTTGCATCTTCTACATTATATGTTAATACATTAATATAGGATGCCGCTTTCTAAGAAGGAGAATATATTGATCTTGGATTTCCCTCCCAAGTTCTTGGTTGAAGAGATGATTAAAAGAGTTTCCTTCTGTTAAAACTCCAAAGAGACCCTCAATTTGTGTTAATTTCTTCTGTTAATTTGTAATGTTTTTAAGCATTTCCTAGAAAGTTGTATCTTATATTTCTTATCTTCTCAGATAATTATATAATATAGCTCAGTGCATTGTTGTCATCCTTTTGGGGTTGTTGGAGTACTGCATTTGACACATTGAATCTGTGTTTAGTGCTTAAGCTTGGTAAAATTAACCTTTGGTTATTTGTAGTTCAACTGAAGATCTCTTGATCCAGATTGATGATTGAGGCAATTTAAAGAGCATTTTCCCTCTCTAGACCAGAAACATGTTCCTTCAGGATGATTCATATTCTCAACCATGTTGCTCTGAATTTGAAGAGTTGTAGATAGTTGGGTGATTTTCAAGAGGCATTTCATAATTCAAACATTTAAGGGGTTTTATTTACTTGCCTTTTCTGGCCATTGCTTTGTTTTCTCTGAGATTTTTGATGATAGATAAACTAAGTTCACTTGTAAAGTTGTGATATTACTTATAAAAAAAAAGACATCATTACTTTTATTGAACAAATGTACCTGTTAGTAATTGTTTTTATGATTTCCTTAAATGACCATTTACCTATTGCAGGCTGCTCTTGAGAAGGAAAAAAGCTTGGCATTGAAGGTTGAGATGGAGAAGACTGGAGAGGTGCCTTCTGCTGAAGATGTAAATCACAGATCTGAAACTGTTGAATCAGTAGCACATCAAATGGACATGCTATCTGTTTCAGGAAACCTTCCAGCAGTGGCTCCTTCTGCAAACTCAGTGGAGACGTCAAATCCAGGGGCTCCTGGTCCTGATCTTGATAGAAGAATTCGAGCACTGAAAAAGAAGGTAATTTTCCCAAGGTTGATACAAAATTAAAGGATGTGAAATTTCATTTCCATATTGTTTTTTCTTTCCTTTAATGTGCAGGAAAGAAATTTCATTGGAGGAGGAAATAGATGACATACACCATAGGAATTCTAAGCATCTCTCCAATGTTCTGGCTTTGCATTTAGCTCATATTTAGCCTTGTCAATACTACACTACCATCAATGACATAATCTTAGTATGGATAAGAAATAGTAGATGTAAGAGGAGAGGAGAAGGTGAAAAATAAAAAAACAAGAGTACCCTACACACTCCCCTGCAAGATGGGCATATATGTTAAACATCCCCACCTTGCCTAAAGCATTTATTAACAATGATACCCTAATCATCTAATTTAGATTTGACAAAAGTTTAAGCAAACTGCTCTTGTTAGAATGTTGCACTAGATTATGTGTAGCAAGGTTTTAAAACCATCATTGACCCAGATGGTTGAACCATTCGGCCATGGAACTGGTCAAGTCACCAGTTATGTTTTGTCCCTGAACCGCTATTTTGTAGAAAACCGTTGAAATGGTCAAAGAACCAACCCAGTTGGTTTAACTGTTAAACTGTTTGACCTAGTTAACGGTCAAACTAATTCAAAATTTTAAATTATTTAAAAATAGAAATTAAAAAATAAAAAAATAAAAAAAGCTTCCACATTCCATAATCTTCTTTGATTATTCTCGATGGCCAAAATTAGTTAAGATTTTTAGTTTTTCCAGTTTGATTTTGGGTTTTCTTTCATTCTTTCTAATCATTTAATGGCTATAACAAGCAAGAAATTGTGAGTCCTATAAATGAAGAGATCCAAAGATCGATTCAAGAGATTAGAGAGATGAGTGATTGATCTGAGATCTGAAATTTGATATATACAAATGAAGCTAGTATGGCAAACAATTCTGCAATGATGGTGATGGTGATGGCTATAACAAGCAAGACATTGTGAGTCCTATAAATGAAGAGATCCAAAGATCGATTCAAGAGATTAGAGAGATGAGTGATTGATCTGAGATCTGAAATTTGATATATACAAATGAAGCTGGTACTATCTGGGATGTGAGAGAGATATAGAGAGATGAGAAAGAACTAAGAACATGGCAAACAATTCTGCAATGATGGTGATGGTGAACATGGCGACAATTGCTACTAGCGCTTCCTTCTCCTTTCTTCTCAGGGTAAACGATGCTCCAAGAATGGACAGTGAACATCACAACAACTGCTACCGGTGCTTCCTTCTCTTTTATTCTTCTTTTTCTTTTTCTTCTTCTTCTTCCTTCTCAACTTTAATGAGCCAGCAGCCGCCCCTCTCAAAGTCTCACTCTCCCCCCTCTCATAATGATGTATATATATGCTCTTCTTTAACCTATATTCTAATCTGATGGCTAGGATGCAAAATACACTATTTTGAATCTAACTGGTTTTAAGGATGCAAATGGATCGGATTCGATTCGAATTAGGGTATATTTGAATCTGATCCAATCCGAAGATTCGATCGGATCTGATAGGACTCGATTTGAATTTGAATTCTGTTGGTAAGTTGGATCTTTAGATCTGATACGATCTGACTTGTTTTCTTTCAAAATTAATAAATTATTAAAAGAAAATTAAAATATACTAATTTAAATAAAATAAAAACAAAAAATATAAGTATTTTTAATTATTTTTCATCATATATACATCTTTTCTATAAAAAAATAAATAATATAACAAATTTATAAAAATAAAATATAAAAAATATATTTACAAATAAATAAATAACATATATATGTATTATATATATTTATATTTATAAATACATAATATATATCGGATCGGATAGGGGGGTGATCCAAATCCRATCCGATTTTTGACCGGATCCTATTATCCGATCCGATCAGGGGTGATCAGAATTCGACCAAATAGGCTTGGATCTCGGATCAGATCATGACCCAATCCATTTGCACCCCTAACTGGTTTAACCTACTCAAATCTAGCGGTTGAACTGTTGACCTAGAAACCCGGTCGGTTTTTAAAACTTTTTTTTTTTGAAGAAGGTAAAGTATTGTATTAGATTAAAAGGAAGAACCCATGTACAATGGTTATGGAGATGGTCTTTAGAGAGGGAGAACTTGTGGCACAAAGTGGTGGGCAATATTCATGGGAGGTTGGAGAATGGCTGGGATGCTGGTGTATCACATCGAACTACTTTTGGTAGCACCTTGGAAAGCAATCCATAGCTTTTGCCATCAGTTCCTCGGGTTTGTCAGGTATGATGTCTGTTCAGGGACTTTAATCTAGTTTTGGGAAGACTTGTGGGATGGTGACCGGCCTTTAAAGGAATTATTCCCGTTTTAATATTCCCTTGTATAAAAATGCGATGATATCAAAGTTTTTAATTCCACCTATTTTTCCTTTGAATCATAATTGGGATTTTGGTTTTTCAAAGGGGATTGAGGGATGAAGATGTTAGGAACCTGCCTAACACAGGGCTCTTCAAGGGAGCCAACCTCTTGAATTCGAGAGATAGGGGAGAGGGGGAGAAGAGAGAGAGAGACAATGATGCTAAAAGAGCGATGCCTTTATTTCTCCTGTTTTGATTATTTATACTGTTTTATAGAGCTCCTCTTCTTACATTCTTTAATTTCTTTTTGTTAAACCGCTGCAAGTGGACGGTCAGTTAGCTGAACTGTTGTGCTGACGTGGCCTTCTCTTGTAAAACTGACTAACTGTCTTCCGTTGTTTTGTTTCAGAGGCCTTAACAATCTCTCCCTCCTTTAGAGAGACCTTGCCCTCAAGGTCTAATGTGGGAAAATTTGTTTGCAGATCCAAGTAAGATTCCCAGGCTATTTCCTCTTTTGGAAGTTTAGACCAAACAACTAGTGCTTCTGGAATGACTCCTCCGCCACATCGCACCCATTTGAAATTAATGATGCGGGCTGGCTCAGTCTACACTTGTCCTTCATCTGAAAATGTGGGAAGAGTAGCACTTGTAATGACTCTTGGCTTCGGCCCTTTCTTTAGTAAAGAGATATGAAATACAGGATGTAACTTTGATGTTGCAGGGAGGTCTAGTTTGTATGCCACAGACCCTATCCTCTCAAGGATTTTAAATGGTCCAAAATAGCGCGGGCTAAGTTTGTTCCACTTTCGGCTTGCTACTGAAATCTGCCTGAAGGGATGTAATTTGAGAAACATCCAATCACCAACTTCATATTGGACATTCTTATGATGTTTATCATAAGTGCGCTTCATCCATTGTTGTGCTTGCAAGAGATGATTTCTTAGCTCTTTAACACCTCATCTTGCTGTATTAATTGTTCTTCTAAGGCTGCTACTGTAGTGGTCCCTTTTTCATAAGTAAAGGGGGAGGGTCCTGACCATATAGAGCTCTAAAGGGCGTCATCCTGGCAGCGCTACGGAAAGTGGTGTTGTACCACCACTCAGCCCAGTGGATCCACTTCACCCATTGTCTTGGTCGATCTCCCACAAAGCATCTCAGATATGTTTCAAGACTCTTGTTAACCGCCTCTGTCTGTCCATCAGATTGGGGGTGGTAGCTTGTTGATTTGCAGAGTTTAACCCCATGTAGACAAAAAGTTCAGCTCAGAAACGACTCATAAAAATAGGGTCCCTGTCGAACACAATTGAGTTGGGGAGCCCATGAAGGTGCACAATTTCCCGAAGGAACAATTTAGCAACTATGACTGTTGTGAATGGGTGTGATGGAGGTAGAAAATGACTGTATTTCATCAATCTATCAACCACCACAAGAATAACAGTTTTAACAGCGGAAATGGGCAACCCCACAATGAAATCCATTGATATATCATCCCAAACTTGGGTTGGGATTGGGAGTGGTTGCAAGAGGCCTGCTGGTGTTGTAGTAGCTGTCTTATTTTGTTGACATACTGCACACTCAGCTATGAAGTTTTGAATCGAGGTACGCATGCCTTTCCAATGGAATTGTGTGGCAATGCGTTTCTGCATCCGTAGAATGCCGGAGTGACCACCTATGGGCGAGGCATGAAATAATTCAAGGAGCTTCCCAAGATGTGTAGAATTTGCTGGGATTTCTAGGCATTCCTTGAAGAAGAGTAGATCATCCTTGACGGTATACCTGGGGTGCTGTGATGGATTTGCCAATACTTGGGCCTTTAATTGTTGTAACTCTGTATGAGAGTGAGCTTCCTTTCGAAGCTGATCCATGAGTGGAGATGTTGGGGAGGACACAAGTAGCTGAAATGATTGTGGGTGCCGTGAGAGGGCGTTAGTAATGCGGTTAGTAGCCCCCACTTTGTACTCAATTGTGTAGTCATACCCCAATAATTTGGACATCCACCGTTGTTGTTCCGGTGATAGAACGGCTTGTTCTAACAAGAACTTCAAACTTTGATGGTCGGTCCGAATTATGAATCATCTACCGAGCAAGTAGGATCGCCAATGCTATACTGCTAAGACCATTGCTATTAATTCTTGTTCATAAACTGATTTGGCCCATTTCTGTGATGTCAAGGCCTTGCTGAAAAAGGCTAGTGGTTGGCCTTCTTGCATGAGGACAGCCCCAACACCTTGACCAGAGGCATCACATTCAATGATGAAATCTTTTGTAAAATCGGGTAGTGCTAATGTTGGAGGTGTCGAAATAGTATGTTTCAACTGCTCAAAAGCTTGTTGGGCCTGGGTTGACCAGTGAAAGGCATCTTGTTTCGGTAATCGGGTCAAAGGGGTAGCTATTAGGCCGTAGCTTTTGATGAAGCGGCGATAATAACCTCATAGGCCCAAGAAGGCCCTCAATTCTTTCTCATTTTTGGGTTGCAACCAGCACAATATACTAGAGATTTTATCTGGGTCTGCTTCTATAGTTCCATTTTCTACAACATGTTCCAGATAATATACTTGGGTTTGTGCAAAGGAGCACTTGCACTCTTTAACGAACAACTGATGGGCCTTAAGTGTTGCGAGGGTGACCTGTAGATGGTTCAAATGTTCCTCCCAGTTGG